TGTTGGTCTCTATCCCAGGAAGCCACCAGCCAAATATAAAGATTCTATACCTTTCAGTTCTTCAGAAGAAGTCGTTTGAAGTGTTTGATACATTTGACCCCTGTGACCTTGAAAGTAGGTCAAGGTCATTTTCATTCTCAAACTGTGTTGGTCTCTATCCCAGGAAGCCACCAGCCAAATATAAAGATTCTATACCTTTTAGTTCTTTAGAAGAAGTCGTTTGAAGTTTTTGACATATTTGACCCCTGTGACCTTGAAAACAGGTCAAGGTCATTTTCGTTCTCACACTTTGTAGGGCTCCTACCAACGAAGCTTTCAGCCAAATATCATGACTCTAGGCCTGTCCGTTCTTCAGAAGAAGTTGTTTAAAGGAAAAGTTGACGGACGAGGACGGACGGACGGACCAACGGGCTCAGGTGAGCTAATAATTGGAAGGCATAGAATCATAATATTTGGCTGTTGGCTTCTTGGGATAGAGCTCACCAAAGTTTGAGAAGGAAAATGACCACAACCTACATACAATGTCACAGGGACAAATATGTCAAACACCCAAAAAGCATAGAATCATATAATATTTGGCTGGTAGCTTCAATGGATGGAGCCTGATAAAGTTTGCAATTGAAATATTTGTAGAACAGAATAATATTTAATGAGAACATTTTTCTATGACTGCTTAAATATCCAGGTGAGCAATACAGGCCCTCTTGTTTGAGCATTTTTTTGGTGGTCTTTCGATAGACTTGACTTCATAATGCCAACCACATTAAACAGTGAGTTATACAGGCCCAATGGACCTCTTCTATATTGTAAGCTAAATACAGTAGCTTGTCAAAGTATCAAAACACTTCTCTCTCTGACCCAAGTTATTTAAAGATAGAAGAACATTTTTTTCTGTAAGTGTGGAAATATTGTTCTTAGTCTAGATCTAGACACTCTCAAAAAGGAAATCCAGATAACTCATTTTCCGAAAAAATATAAATAACTTTAAAAAAAAATACAGATCACTCATTTTAGCCAATGTACATTTGTCAGACAGACGTGTGATGGAACACTCCTTGGTCAAATACACTGATAACAGACAAATTACAAATAGGTATGAATTGTAAAAACACTTTCATATTTTATTAACTAATCTTGAAAAATAATTACTCAAATGCATAGGATTCTACTGGTTCTGTTCAGATTTCACTTTCAAAAGATCTACAGAACAATTCTATCTCTCAAAAATCTTGAAAATTACTAAACAAAGTTTTTTCAAAGGCTGATCAAAATTCATTAACACATGATCGTATATGAATAACTTAAGTTATTTTTGAACACAAAATAAGTAAGCCACATTATGTAGGCTAATGTAGCATAACTTGAACACATACTGGCACTGCAGGTACATTTGTATATATCTATAAGGCACCAATGTAATGATATCCAACTCTTAACGTATATTAGTACTGGAGTTAACCCTAAAAGAAACATGTATGTGTAATACACCAAGCATATATTAACAAAGTTTCAATAATATGGTTGTTAGATATAGGCCAAAAAAATGTGTTTCAGGTATCTTGACCTACCCCAGATGATTTTTCTGTTCACCTTTTAATATTTAAGAACATCCTCCCTGTTCTGGGAGCCTAACCATTCTTGACATCTTAATGGCAATTGTGATGTTGGAAAATGCATTGAAAATTTTGATATTAGGCATGATACTGATCAATGAATAATGCAATTATTTGCCTGCCAACTTAATTATTTTTTTTCCCCACATGTTACCTGAAACTCATATTCATTTTGCTTTGGCCTAAAACATGTACCTATGTTCTAGACATAATCAGGCTAACAAACAAGTAAATCTATATAGAGTCAGATATCTAGATGATAATTTAAAATGTCCCGTCAAAAGTTAATTTAGGCTAAAGGTAATATGCTGACTTACATTTTGTACCTGTGCCTTTGTCAGAGTTATATCCCTTTATTTAAATTTTAATGCTCATTTTCATATTTTTGTGTGTGAAAAAATCTTTTTGAAAGATGTCACAACAATAAAAGCTAACATTCGCACTTAATAATTATACACTGCAACTAATTACTGTATACATATAGCTGGTTATTTTCTCAAGAATTATATTTTTGCTGATTGAAGCATATATGTGATCATGAAAATTGTATTTTTCTGTAAAAATATGTAACAAAGGTAAATAGTATCCATGACATAAAATGCAATAAAGGCTGCTGTGGTGTTACTGTCATAAGGAAGTTTGTACATTAGCTATAGACTGTCTCAACTTCTCAAGTGATCTTGCAATGCAGCAGGTTTCATCATTTCAAGTAAAAATTAAATAAATTTAGAGCTGCAAAAACAACCAGCTATACAGTATACAAAAATAATATTAACAATTTATCATGCATTAGAAAGATAGTAAGCAGATACAATAATATATCTTAATATTTACAAGTCAGAGGTATGTGTACAAATGTACAATTGTATAGCTATAAAGCTATCATACCTGTACCATGTAAAATACAAACATGTTGCTAATTAATATAAGTATAATGTAGATACCCGGGAAACACATCAGACAATACTTTCAGTTTCCTTTCATAAAAGACTGATAAAATGAAGTATTCCACCAGCCAATCGGACATGAGGTGTCCACAGGCTGAATTTGAGAAACTTGCATATAATTACAATGTACCTTGAAGAACCAGTGCTCACCCTGGTATAGCTGACTAATTAGTGAAATGCTTGTTCTAGTACTATTATTTTGTACACATTGAACATATTATTGATGAGAGCATATGGTTAAGTTGTAGAGTGGGGAAATAGTGTTGATTGCATAAAAACAAATTTTCTTGTTTTTGTTTTTCATTTAGTTCTCAGCAATTTCAATTAAGTTTTGATTTGTTTGAATTTATTTGAGAAGAAAAAATTCAGCAATCACAAAGAGGAAAAAAATCCTATTTTTAGCGCCAAAGCAGGGAAAATCCTGGAATTTTAGAGCAGCGGACCATTTCAGCAATTTTAGACAATATCAAAATTAAGAGGGGCCATTCTATATAAAATTAAAAGAAAATTGGAACATGGGGGGGGGGGGGGGGGGGGGGGGGGTCAATTGCAGTTATGAGGGGTCAATGGCCCGGCCCCATGGCCCCCTCCATGATTATTCCTGCCAATGATGGAACTGCAATAATTTTAGAGTGAGCACTGGACTAAAGGGTTTTATCAGGATAGAACATACACTAGTTCATTCAAAGTTGGGTACTAAAAAAAACTGAAATACTGACAGTTACTTTTTTTTAATTGGGACTTTATTTTTGGAAATAGGTCAATTAACAGACCTGAAATGGGTGAGGGTGACACCTAGTCCAAAATTACGATTTCTTCTAAACTCAAATGGGTGCAGATCTCTACTCAATAATTATTTTAAAGAGGGGAGTCTATTATTTCAGATAAACCAACACCCTGTTTCCAGTACCACCATACATGTTGTTGCAGGTGATATAAATATGCAGCAAATAGCTGTGCCTTTTCAAATAAAGTGATATCTAAGTTTTATCATATGATGTTGAAATATCATTTTATTAAAAATTGAAATCACTGAAATGGTTAATAACCCCAATTACTTAAAGGATTAGGTGAAACATAAGTTAATAATCTGTTGACATCCTGATAAAACCGTTTTTTGCATATTTTTACTATTAAAAAATACAGATTCTTAATAAATATACACAAACGTCATAGTATGTTTGCAAACTTTTAAAATTAAACAACCGTCAGAGATAAAATGGGGCTAGTTTGATTCTGTCTTTGTTGTCTGGATGACGCAGAGCAATCTGACACCTGAGCAAGAGTTCAATGTAAGGTGGCCAAAATCGGTGATCAATGGCAATATAAGGATCACTTGGTTCATCAACACACTTGTTCATGAGGCTTTCCAAAATCTGTTTTAAGGATATCATGTCACGCAGTTTTAATTTACGATCAGCAGATCGTAACTTATTCATCTGTTCTGAAAAGACCTCTTGCGAGGGCAACGGAAAATGCTTGTCTACAAATGATCCCAGCTTTTTCACAACCTCTTTCAGATAGCTTTCTCCATTTTGTATTTTTTGATAGATTTCCTCTTTTTTACGGTCAGGCACTCGGGCGTTTTCTTCCTCTGGACTCTGAATTCTGTTTTGAAGCATTTCTGACACACATTTATTCTGGTCCAGTATATCTTCCTCCTTCTTTATCATGTTATCAATATCTTTGTTCTGTCCACACACAAAGGAATAAGTCTCTTGTAGTTCTAAAATATCTTTCTCAAGTTCTTTAGTAAATATTTCAAATTGTACATCTTCGTCATCAGAAACAATGGGCACTGCCGAATTTTCTACAATATTTAATTCTGCCTTGATTCGTTTGAATCTCGCAGTAAGAAGTTTTGGTGACAATTCAGATATAGAAGCATCTTCTTCGCCCAGAGCACCAATCACTGTAATGGTCGGTACAGAAGCCTTTTCAAGCTCTCCAAATGTTTCTTCAACTTCTTCCATTTTAGCATAAGTCTTTGCCACTATATCGCTCTCTCCAGAACTTGCCATGGCGTAGATGGAAACTCTGTGTATAAATTCGATGTAGTTGCATTTTACATCATGAGTTCATACATCATTCTACAAGTTAAATCCTAACAAATGTTTTGGTCTTCGACTGTCATTCATTTTTTCGCGCTTCCTGTTTAGACCGGAAGTGGCACCGGCGAATTAGGTTGCTAAAATTTCCAAATCATGAAAAAATAATCGTACACATTAGAACACATAAACATGCATATTCACACTTTCTATTTTCTCTGTGTTATTATTTCATTAAAAAATATTAACTAGGCAAATATCAAGAGTCTGAGATTATTTTAATACACTGCATGAATATACTTTGTTTCGTTTTATATTTCGTTCCGCATAATGCCAAATTCGTCAACTTGCATCAGAACACATGGACAGAAGTTAATTTTGTAAGAAGTAGTCTGATATTTATCTTTATTAATATACTATGCACTAGGATATATTGCCTTCACATATATTGATCAACTTCATGTCCACATGTATGCGATTTACAACTTACTGTAGATTTCATATAAGGGAACAAAGAACACCATATGTACAGTCAAGTCTGGCAAAAAATAGTTACTGTTATGTGGCATAAGGAACATTTTGATCTATACTCTGATGTAAATGTAATATATACATATATATATATATCAATTCTATAATCCTGGTGTTCCAATTTGAAGTTTCATTCTGACATAAGGACCCTTGAATTTAATGTTACAGTTAGTATGTTTAGATCTAGTCTGATGCGTAGTCATATTAGACATTTTAGGGGTTTAAATACATTCTCGGTGAAAACCAGGAATAGCCATCAGTGATGGACTCGATACGAGAACAGTGGAAAGTTCTCAGTGTTGGAAAATCTATGCACCTAAATTCCTGTCGTCATAAGTCATATTTCTAGTTGTACAAAAAATACTCCGTACCATTCTAGATCTTCTCCCAATAATCTCATTATCTAATAATAATAAACTTTATTTATTGAGGATAAAATACATGTTTAGCCAAACCATCTGCATACCACCTCTGGGGTATTGATGCAGATGAAGATTTGAAACCTCATTTATGCATGAAAAATGTGTTCTCCAATGAATATAATTTCCATTTCTTTTGAAAATGCACCCCATTTCGATCTTTCAAAGTGCCACTTTTCCCATATCCAAGAGGTTGATAAATATGGAGCGAATACCCTACATTCCTGCTTGCTGGTATCTTTACAAACCAGTGGTGCCAGGTATTCGCTCGTAAATGATGTCAACCCCATGAATATGCGTTAAAAAAGTGACACTAAGACAGCATAAACTTTGAAGATCAAAATAGGGTATTATTAGGAAGAAACTACTTCAAATAAGGAAACCGATACTTTCAAAAGTTTAATTTGTTTAATGTTTATTTTTTTATGTCATGAATATTTGCACTGAAATGGGTTGAAAAAAGTTTGAATGGAAATATATTTGTACCACCACTTATTATTCATCAGCATGTACACAGCATATACATAAACACTGATACATTCCCATTGAATCAATTGATTTAATAAAATATTTTGAAATGAAAAACATGAACACTATGAAAGTGCCCATTTGTACAACAACATCTAAAATTTAAGACATACCTGCCAACTTTTTGAAATTTCCATGGGGGAGATTGTGCATTCTCAAAATTAAAACATAAGAAAATGTGAAAATACATACGCTAGAGACAAAATAACCCTTTAAAATGACATAATTTGAATTGTTCTTTCAGATGAAATCATTAGATCTTAAAAATAGGAACAGTATAGCAAATTCACTGGTTGAAAATACTAAATTTAAGTTTCCAAACTTGGGAGTCTCCCTCCTCAATAGGGAGAGTTGAAAAGTATGTTAAGAAGAGAGTTCTTTGGTTACTAGAAACATATTTGGAATATTCACATATCAATGTACCAAATTATTTGCTTATAAAAACTGACAGGAATACTTTTAGTGGATTTTCAAGGAGATTCAAGTCCAAATGATGTAATAGGAAATGGTTATAGACCACATGAATCGCATATATATCAATATAAGTTGTACTGTAAAACAGTACTGGAATAGATAACAACCAGTAGTGGTCCATTATTATGAGTATCAATCACACACTCCTATATCTGAAACTATGAACGCATAGCCTATGGCCAAATGATTTTCAGTTTCCTCATACTACGTAATATATACCCTAATTTGTTGTGCCTTCCCTAAACTCTTTTCGCAATTTCAGAGAAACACTGTAATTTATTCAGACAATCACATGTAATGGGAAACAAAAGTCTTTTTGTTTGGCCTAAACCCTTCCTATTATCCAATATCAATGTTATTAATACAAGATATTTGATATACAATGTCAGCAATTAATTGTGTAAATGTGGTGTAAGATCTTCAGTGTAAACCATAATATTTTATCAAAATTACATACAAAATGTATAGTACATTGTAATGACAAATGGATGCAGAAACAAGCAAAACATCAATAACAAATCTGTCAATTTTTGTTTTTCAGTTTTTGTGACATTTTAGGATTATTTCACACATAGACAGTCAAAATGGTGTTGACTTGTCGTTTTTACTCTAACAAGTACCCTGAGATGGAGGACGTTGTAATGGTCAATGTCCAATCCATCGCAGAAATGGGAGCTTATGTTCATCTACTCGAATACAACAACATAGAGGGCATGATCTTGCTCAGTGAATTGTCCAGACGACGTATCCGTTCTATCAACAAACTTATCCGAGTCGGCCGAAGTGAATGCGTGGTTGTAATAAGAGTGGACAAAGACAAAGGTATGGTATACTAATTCCGATGATTCAATCATTAAAACAAAAAGAAGGAAATGATTCTTTCTAACAGACCTGGGTAAAAAAATATATCCATTAATTAATGCTTATCTTATTAGTTTCTAATTTTAATTGGCCAAATTCCTTTTACAATGTAATTACTTTGTACCAGTCACAGGGATATTGAAACTAAATGTATGACCACTTAAAACTGGAAGGTTTGCTAATGGTTATGTTTGTATTTATTTATATAATTTACGCAATTGGGTACAACTTATTGTTTTCATTCAATTATTGTCCAAATAACTATATATGGGTCTTCATCTGTCCACAGGTTATATTGATTTGTCAAAGAGAAGAGTTTCTCAAGAAGAAGTTGCTAAATGTGAAGAAAAATTTGCTAAGGCAAAGGCAGTAAGTAGATACTGATTGATTTTGAATTGTTTTGTTATGTATTTCATTTGGAACCATGTACATATGTTGGTACTTGTCTTGCAGGTAAACAGTATACTTCGCCATGTGGCTGAGTTGTTGGAGTACGAAACTGAAGAGCAGCTAGAAGATCTGTATAAAAAAACAGCTTGGTACTTTGATGACAAATACAAAAAGCCAGGCTCCTCTTATGAAGTATTCAAGCATGCTGTAACGTGAGTTTTAACAAGAGAAATGTTATGAAATATCTATTTCAACATTTTGAAAAAAAAATGTACAGTAATGTCTGGGTCAGACTGATGTGAAATATGGTATTCTTACATCAAGAAATATTTCATTAATTTTTTTAAAAGAGGATAATATTCCTATTTATACCTATATATCTGGTCTTCTTCTTGGTTAAACTTTCTTTCATATTACATGATCTGACCAATCTGCACTTCATAAGCTTTTTTGGCATTTTAGATTTGCGAGTAATGTACTCTTTCACTCCTTTGCACAAAATATAGTCTGCACACCTAAAGGAATGATAAAATGTCCTGCTCTCACTATTTGGTGCAGCATTCTTCAGATCACCCTTTAAAATTATCTTACATAATCTAAATGACCTTTACCATTATAACGTCACAATCAGATGAGTGCTCAATATATGTGTATCTTTCATATGTAGAGGTGGGAGAATATTGATACTTCAAACTCATGCTGTTGCTTGCTAAGAAAAATACTGATTATTCCACAATTTGTATATATGTTAGGGTACAGCATGATTTGTAAGTAATGAAGAAGTGAAAAGACCATGAATGTTATTGCGTTTTTTCTCTATTAGAAATCCAGAAATATTGGACGAGTGCGAGATTGATGATGAGACAAAAGCCACTTTACTTGAGAACATCAGACGGAGATTAACACCTCAGGCTGTTAAGATTCGAGCAGGTTAGTGACTTCCACAGTGTGTAAAGCTAATTTAGGACGTAAAAGATGAGGTATTCTTTTAATCCATCAGATGCAATTTCTTTTAGCAGAAATATTCTTGTTCAAAAGGGGACATTTTTACTTTCACAAATATTCTAATATTTATCTTTACTGTAATGAGAAAGATTTTTGAGGGGTCAGTGTTTTTGGTTGGTTTTGGACCAATGGTAAGCAGACAATCAGTGCAGCCGATGGGATGATCTGTGTAGGGGAAAATCAACACCAGTTTTTCTAAAAGAGAGAATTGCCTAGTTTTATTGGGCTACTTGTTTCAAGAGACTTCCAGGTAACAGCCTCATGATGAAACACTAACTTTCATACTGTGAGATTCTTCATAGAAAAGTAGTCATCTACACTGTTCTCCATGAAAATGGGACAGGAGGAAAAAACCTGATTTGATGCAAAGAAAGAAATATTTGTATCTGAAGATTATAGATTATAAATTTTGACAGGTCAGTTGAGAATTTCTTGTGTTTAAATTCAGATTTAGAAGTGGCATGCACGAACTACGAGGGAGTGGATGCTGTAAAGAGAGCATTGAAAAAAGGCCTTGAATTTACAACGGAGGCCATGCCTATAAAGGTAAAATGTGATCCGTACCATCACAATCCCAAAAGTATTTGTGATATCTGATTTTGTTACTGATTATGTCCCAGTATTTACTTAAAGTGAAATGAAAAGTTGAAGAAGATTTAGATATAATTAAGTAATGATGAATGGAGTAAAAAGACAATATTTCATGCAATGTTTGATTTATATATCTGATGTAGTACCTGGTACTTGTTTTGAGTTGTAGTTCCACATCAGACTCTGTTGTTCCTCAGGAATAGTCCCTTGAATCCTAAATTTTGAAATAATATTGGCTTTTATTTATAATGTTAGCTTTGTATGTTAACAATTTCACAAGAGCAAAGGTCATATGTAGATAGTGCCTGCTATTCTTCATCATAGAGTTTCCAAGACCTAGATTTGTATTTCCCAATAGCTCAAGCTTATAATTTACTATTTTTTTTGCGTCGTGGCGTCCGGCGTCAATATTTAACTTTAAACAACTTCTTCTCAATAACCAAAAGGCCTAGGGTGATGATATTTGGTCAGAAGCAAACTGGGATGAGGGGCTACCAAGTTTGTTCAAATGAATAACCTAGACTTAAATTCAAAGTCACAGGGTCAAATATGTTAAAAACTTTTAAAACAACTTTTTCTGAATAACCAATAGGCCTAGGATGATGATATTTGGCAAGTAGCATGCTGGAATAAAGGACTTCAGATTTGTCCAAATGAATGACCTTTGTCCAGTTTCAAGGTCACAGGGGTCAAATATGTTAAAATCTTTTTAACCAACTTCTGAATAACCGCCTAGGGTGATGATATTTGGCTTGTAACATTCTGGGATAAAGGACTTCCAAGTTTGTTTAAATGAATGACCTTGACTTATATTCAAAGTCACAGGGGTCAAATATGTCAAAACCTTTAAAACAACTTCTTCTGAATAATCAAGAGGCCTAGGGTGATGATATTTGGCCAGTAACATTCTGGGATTAGGGGCTACCAAGTTTTTCAAATGAATGACCTTGACTTATATTCAAAGTCACAGGGGTCAAATATATTAAAAACCTTTAATACAACTTCTTCTGAATAACCAATAGGCCTAGGATGATGATATTTGGCCAGTAGCATGCTTGAATAAAGGACTACCGATTTTGTCCAAATGAATGACCTTTGTCCATTTTAAAGGTCACAGGGGTCAAATATGTTAAAATCTAATGACTTCTGAATAACCAAGAGGCCTAGGGTGATGACATTTGGCCAGTAACATGCTGGGATAAATGGCTACCAAGTTTGTTCAAATGAATGACCTTGAATTATTTTCAAGGTGACGTGGGTCAAATATGTTGAAAACTGTAAACGACCTCTTCTATATAATCAAAAGGACCAGGGTGATGATATTTGGTCAGTAACATGCTGGGATGAAGGGTTACCAAGTTGTTTCAAATGAATGACCTTCACCTATTTACAGGGTCACAGAGGTCAAATATGTTGAAATCTTTAAACAACTTCTGAATAATCTAAAGGTCCAGGGTAGTGATATTTGGCCAGAAGCATGCTGGTATGAAAGGCTATAAAGTGTGTTCAACTTAATGTCCTTGTTTGACTTTCAAGGTCAAATGTGTCGCATGTTTAAATCTTTTATAGATTTTTTTGAATCAAACACTGGTATTTTGCCTGTAGCTGTATTTTAGTCCACTTTTAAGATTACAAGTGTAAGATTAATACCAGGTGAGCGATTCAGGCCCATTGGGCCTCTTGTTAAAGAAAGATATCTATACTTATGAGAAATGTTGAATCAGAATATAGATAATAACGAATGCGTTTCTCTTAATAATGAGTGTGTTTCTCTTAAATAGTTTTGTTTGCTTGCACTGCTTAACATGAAATATTGATTTGGTTTTGTTTTAATATCAGTTAAACTGAGTTAATGTCCATCGGAAGACACAAGTGATCTTTTATAAAGATAATGCTAGACAAAGTTGAGTAAATTAAGAATTTAAACAACATAATGAAGCTGGGGCTATGATACAATATGTTTGTTTCACTGAAATTCAGACAAATTCAAATTTATTCTCTACTGCAGATAAATCTGATTGCCCCACCGTTGTATGTGATGACAACACAGACTCTGGAGAGATCGGACGCCCTGGCCTTGTTAAACAAGGCAATCGCAGCCATCAAACTGAATATAGAGGAGGCTGGAGGTGTATTTAATGTCCAACAACAGGTATGTTCACTTGATATTTGATCTTAATACTTTTATATGAGCGGAATGGTTGTTGTACACAGGGGCCGTTTTCGTTTAAACGGTTGAACTGGTCCGTCCACAGTTGTTCGTTTTTTAAATAAGGTCGGACATACTAATCTGATGCTGCTTTCAGACAAGCCTTGACAAAGCCTTGCAAGGCCTGTATAAACATTTTCAGGTCGGCCAGGATTTATGCCTGAAATTGTTACATTTAAAAACCGACAAACTGGTTGTTCCACATAAACAAACAGGCCCAGGATGTTATACAGACCTTGGATCTAATTGCCATCTGACATCACACATAACACTAATTGGTTCAGCATTGTTTCCTGCCTCCAGCATCAATATCTGCAATATTGTAATTGTTAAAGAAAGAAATGTGTAGATTGCTTGTTTATTTTTTAAACCACATCAGTATTCAATATGCAAGACATATGATGACACTTTGTTGCATTCTGGAAATGTTTTGCATTATAATTTTGTGATAAGAAAACCAAAGCACTACCTTTTGAGTCAAGCTTTCACATATCATCCATTGAAGCTACCATTTTTTTTAATAAAAATTGTGTTTGTGATCTTTAATTACTCAATTTTCATGCTTTCAATTTTGATAAGCTAGATTTAGAAAAGAATATGGTTGGGCCAGTGTAATCAACAAAAGACATTATAACTGTTGATTTTTGGTAATTTGATAAGTGATAATAACATTTCATAGGTGTTCGAAATATTTAAAGCTATCTTAGTTATATTTATCACCTGGCATGGCGAAATTTATGAAGACACCAACCTTAATCTACATATCAATATCCTGAAATGACGAAATTTCCCAAACTCACATCAAGGAGGCACGGTAGTCCAGTGGTTGGACGTCAGGCTCATGACTGAAAGGTTGCCGTTTCAAGTCACGGCATGACAGTGTTGTATCTTTGAGCAAGATACTTTACTCCTCTTGTTCCAGTCTACTTAGCTGTAAATTAGTACGTGGTTGGGAAATGCTAGAATTGTAGAATCGGCTGTATGCTCCAAAGGGAGTTGAGAAAGATATTGTCTGGTTGCAAAGGCCCAATAACCACAGATAATAATTTGTGAACCGCTTTGAGACGACCTACAAACTAGGATGTGATAAAGCAGTATATAAGAACCTCAAATTATTGTTTACATTGTGTATTATTATTATCAACACTTAAAAAGAACACAGTATTTAACTGTAAGTTGTCCTCTTTTCAGCTCTGCCTAGCATCAGACACCTGTAAGATAATTCAGTTGTTCATTTTACTTTTTTCTTTGTCAGCCACGTGTCGTGTCAGACATTGATGAACAGGAGTTGGCCAAGAAACTACAACAGCTAGAGGATGAAAACAGAGAGGTTAGCGGAGACGAGGATAGCGAGGAGGAAGACGAGGGAATGGGCGTCGCTGGGGACATAGAGGAGGAGGAGGCGGCAGCAGATCCCAAAGCAGACGCTGTTGAATGATTGTATGAACATATTGAAAGATACAAAAAAGACCTTGTGGCAGGAAGTGGAGAGATTTTATCATGAACAACAGTTGACTTTTAAATTCAAAATTAATGCAGAGAATTTCCAATAAAATACATGCCATTGTATGGATAAGCAATACTAGTTAATATGGCTAGTTAAACTGTAAGATCTTTAAACTGTCCCGTTAGTAGTAATTGGATAGAAACAAAACATGGCATGGGCTGGAATTTTCGGAACAATCTGAGGAAGGTTGCGTTGTTTATGTTTATATTGATAGGATCAAAAGCCTGTGCTATAACAGGATTGTGTTCAGTATGTGCTAAATGAGACATCATTTGTGTCGACACCAAACAGATCTGTCCATATATAGGTGTACTTTCTGATGCATGTTTGCTACATGTTTAAATTAAATTAAAAGTACGTCAGCACTCAGATGAAACATAAGTGCTTCCTTTTTCTGATTACTACTGTTTGAAGTAGAAAGTCTACTTTGTCAAGTAATTGGATGCATATTGGGATGCAAGTTTATTTAGTAAACAGTACAATATCTGTATCAGAAGTGAACTTTTCAGTAAATTAAAATCTTTAAGATGAATGTCTTAAAACAGTGAAATACGACAAGTTTGAACCATTCATTCTTGTTTCCACACATAAATGGAGCAATTTTTGTGTAATAAATGTTTCTTTCTCAAGATATGGAACATAATGTATCATCTTTCATTAGGGATTAATTTATTCCAAACTGATGTCAGGTCGTTACTTTTGTACATGTACATTATGATATCGTAATAAATAATCAAACCTGTGAGTTGTCCTTTCTTCATAAATTGCTGAAACATTGAGATCTTCAACCACTTTCCATTGATCTAAAATATCTGGTACTCAATATTTTTGCATCAGGAGATATAACAAATTCTTCTTCAAGATCCCTGAACCACTGCCAAAAACTAGAAGGAAATGTTAGAAACTATTTTATTCTGACACGACTAAAAGAAAACCATACCATGTGGGACTTTTATGATAAAGAATAAAGATGAAATGAACGAAAAATAATTAACAACAGTGTTTTGAGTGTAAAAAATCAGTGGGGCTAGACAAGGATTCGAACCCTGGACTACAGATTAATATACTGTCGCTCTAACCAATTGAGAAACCTGGTCAACCGAATAGTAAAGGGGAGGTTAATGTATATAGAAAAATATGAAGTGCAGTGGCACAGGGATCTTTAAGATGCATCAAAAGTTTTATCCAACACTTAAACTCTAAATCACTGCTTGAACATCTTGACTCAATTTGTGCAGAGAGCAACACACCATACAAGAGCAGGGGACAACATATCTAATGACAAAGTATAACACAGGGGGACAAACAGGACAAAATATCTAATTACAAAGTATACCACAGGGGGACAAACAGGACAAAATATATTGTGACAAAGTATAACACAGGGGGACAAACAGGACAAAATATATAATGACAACTAAAGTATACCACAGGGGCACGAACAGGACAAAGTATAACACGGGAACAAACAGGACAAAATATACAACAGATGCAACACATAGGACAACACATATCAGAAGGCGGAATACACCACAGGATGTCACAAAGGACAACATATACCACTGCAACAAAGGTCAAACTATACTTCAGGGGGGTAACACAGGACAGTATACTTCAGGGTGTAACACGGGACAAAGTATACTTCAGGGTGTAACATAGGACAAAGTATACTTCAGGGTGTAATACAGGACAAAGTATACTTCAAGGTGTAACAAGGGGCAAAACATGGGACAAGGTATACTTCAGGGTGTAATACAGGACAAAGTATACTTCAGGATGTAACACGGGACAAAGAATACTTCAAGGTGTAACACGGGACAAAACATGGGACAAGGTATACTTCAGGGTGTAATACAGGACAAGGTATACTTCAAGGTGTAACACGGGGCAAAACATGGGACAAGGTATACTTCAGGGTGTGATATAGGACAAGGTATACTTCAAGGTTTAACACGGGGCAAAACAGTGGACAAGGTATACTTCAGGGTGTAATACAGGACAAGGTATACTTCAAGGTGTAACACGGGGCAAAACATGGGACAAGGTATACTTCAGGGTGTGATATAGGACAAGGTATACTTCAAGGTTTAACACGGGGCAAAACAGTGGACAAGGTATACTTCAGGGTGTAATACAGGACAAGGTATACTTCAGGATGTAACATGGGGCAAAGTATACTTCAGGATTTAACACGGGACAAAGTATTCTTCAGGATGTAACACGGGACAAAGTATACTGCAGGGTGTAACACAACAAAATATAGAACATGATGTAACACATAGGACAACATATACTAGCAGACAGAATATAACAAAGGACAAAATATACCACTGCAACAAAAGTCAAAATATACTTCAGGGTGTATCACAGTTCAAAATAAATTTCAGGGTGTAACACAGGACAAAGTGTACTTCAGGGTGTAACACGGGACAAAGTATTCTTCAGGTCGTTACATAGGACAAAGTATACTTCAAGGTGTTTCACGGGACAAAATATACTGCAGGTTGTAACACAGGAAAAAGTATACTTCAGGGTGTAACACAGGACAAAGTATACTTGAGGGTGTAACACAGGACAAAGTATACTTTGGGGTGTATGTAAGACGGGCAAAATATACTTAAGGGTGTAACAGGACAAAGTATACTTCAGGATGTAACACGGGACAAAGTATACTTCAGGGTGTAACACAGGTCAAAGTATACTGCAGGGTGTAACACATGACAAAGTATTCTTCTTGGTGTAACACGGGAAAAAGTATACTTCAGGGTGTAACACGGGGCAAAGTGTAGCACAGGTCAAAATATACCAAAGAGTAACACAGAACAAAGTTGATATAACGCAGCGCAATATATTACAGGATGTACAAGTCGAAATGTACCCGAGGGTGTATTGCGGAACAATGTATTACATAGATTTTACACACGGAACAACACAAACCACAGGGTGTAACTAACACACGGGACAAAATATACCAAAGAGTGAAACACCCCGGACAAAATATACCACAGTGTGTAACACTGAACAAAATATACCACAGAGTGAAACACACAGGACAAAATATACAACAGGGTATAACTAACACACTGGACAAAATATACCACAGGATGTAACACACTGGACAAATACACCACAGGATGGGACACATAACACGGGACAAAATATACCACAGGGTGTAACACACTGGACAAATATGCCACGGTGTAACAAACAGGACAAAATATACCACGGTGTAACACACGGGACAAAATATACCACAGGATGTAACACACTGGACAAATATACCATGGTGTAACACATGGGACAAAATATACCACAGGATGTAACGCACTGGACAAATATACCACAGGATGTAACACATGGGACAAAATATACAACAGGGTATAACAAACAGGACAAAATATACCACGGGGTAGGACAAAAGACAAAATATACCACGGGGTAGGACAAAAGACAAAATATACCACGGTGGAGGACACAAGACAAAATATACCACGGTGTCACACGCGAAAAAATATACCACAGGATTTAACACACAGACCACCTATACCACAGTTTAACACACGGGACCAGATATACCACGGTGTATCACACGGGACAAACTATACCACGGTGTAACACACTAGAAAAATATACCAAAGAGTGTAAAACACGGGACAAAATATATGACTCGATGTAACTAACACACGTGACAAAATATATCAAGGGGTTTGACACAGGGTAAAAAATAAACCAAAGGATGTAACACACTGGACGAATATACCACAGGATGAAACACATGGCACAAATATAAGACGCGACAAAATATACCACAGGATGTAGCACATGGGACAAATATAACACGGGACAAGATATACCACGGAGTAACACACTGGACAAAATAAACCAAAGGATGCAACACACTGGACAAATATACACAGGATGGGACACATATAACGCGGGACAAAATATAACACAGGATGTAACACTCTGGACAAATATGCCTCGGTGTAACACACAGGACAAAATATACAGGACAAAATATACAACAGGGAATAACTAACACACTGGGCAAAATATACCACAGGATGTAACACATGGGACAAAATCTACCACAGGATGTAACACACGGGACAATTATATACCACAGAGTGAAACACACAAGACAAAATATACCACGGGGTAGGACAAAAGACAAAATATACCACGGTGAAACACACTGGAAAAATATACCAAAGAGGGTAACAAACGGGGCAAATTATATGACTGGATGTAACTACCACACGTGACAAAATATACCACAGGATTTAACCCACTGGACACATATACCACAGTGTAACACACGGGACAAAATTTACCAAGGGGTTTGACACAGGGTACAAAATATACCAAAGGATGTAATACACGGGACAAAAAATACCACAGGATGTAAAGTATACCACAGGGGGACAAACAGGACAAAATATAACACTATGTAACACACTGGACAAACATACCACGGTGTAACACATTGGACAAAATATACCAAAGGTTGTAACACACTGGACAAATACGCCACGGTGTAACACACAGGACAAAATATACCACGGTGTAGGACACAGGACAAAATATACCACGCTGTAACACACGGGACAAAATGTACCACAGGATGTAACACACTTGACAAATATACAAAGGTGTAACACACGAGACAAAATATATCACGGTGTAACACACGCGACAAAATATACCACAGGATGTAACACACTTGACAAATATACCGAGGTGTAACACACGAGACAAAATATATCACGGTGTAACACACGCGACAAAATATACCACAGGGTGTGACGCACTGGAAAAATATACCACGGTGTAATACACTGGAAAAATACACCACGGTGTACCACATGGGACAAACTATACCACGGAGTAACACAGCGACAAAATATTCCATAGGATGTAACACACTGGACATATATACCACAGTGTAACACACGGGACAAGATATACCACAGGGGAACACACTGGAAAAATACACCACGGTGTAACACACGGGCCAAAATATACCACGGTGTAGGACACAAGACAAAATATACCACGGTGTAGGACACAGGACAAAATATACCACGGAGTAACACACTGGACAAATACGCCACGGTGTAACACACAGGACAAATGTACCACGGTGTAACACACAGGTCAAAATGTACCACGGTGTAACACACGGGACAAAAACTGGACAAATATACCACGGCGTAACACATGGGACAAAATATGCCACAGGATGTAACACACGGTACAAATATATACCACAGAGTGAAACACACAAGACAAAATATACCACGGTGAAACACACTGGAAAAATATACCAAAGAGTGTCACACACGGGACAAAATATACCACGGTGTCACACGCGAAAAAATATACCACAGGATTTAACCCACTGGACACATATACCACCGTGAAACACACGGGACAAGATATACCACGGTGTAACACCCGCGACAAAATATACCACAGGATTTAACACACTGGAAAAATATGCCAAAGAGTGTAACACACGGGACAAACTATACCACGGTGTAACACAATGGAAAAATATACCAAAGAGGGTAACAAACGGGGCAAATTATATGACTGGATGTAACTACCACACGTGACAAAATATACCGAGGGGTTTGACACAGGGTACAACATATACCAAAGGATGTAATACACGGGACAAAAAATTCCACAGGATGTAACACCCGGGACAAATATATACCACAGTGTGTAACACTGAAC